AAAAGAGCCTGTGAATAGGTCACTCTTACCATCTCCTCAGAAATGACTTTCCAAAAGGGCTTCTAGAACTGAGAAGCTCCTCCCACTTCTGCTTGCCAGCACAGTTTGATGCAGCTGGGCCTTCCTTAAAAACTGAACCCTTTCTGACTTCATGCTCCAGAGTCTGGTCCTTGGTATTATAGTTACAGCTGAAAAATACCTGTCTGCCTCTTTACATTTTTACACAGTGTGACTTGAACAGATTTACCTTCTGAAAAATTACCTTCCGAATACAGGAATCTTAATTTGTAAAACTTAGCACAAGGAGCATTAGATCTCCTTTTCATTTTCACAAGACAGGAACTTCCTCTCCAGCTGACCTGAAAATAAGAGTCCTCCTGGTCAAGCCCCTTATTTAACTACCAAAATGACACTACATTCAGAGGATAGTAATATGACAACTGATCTGCCTGGCCCTTTCATTTGATTTTTTTCCTTTTTTGCTGTTTATGGGACTTCAGGTGAATTAGCATGGAACGCATGGTTCCTACAGGTGACATCCATAAGGCATCGCTGACTGCATGACAGCTGTCACCCACAGCTGCAGACTGCCCCTCTGCTAGCAGCATGTTCTTGGCTCCGCAACCCGCTTAGATCACAGACATCTGATGCGAAGGCCAGCCGCTCCTCACCGAGTTCAGCTGACATGGACGCCAAACTCTTCACACAACTGGGGAGATGCCACAGGATTGAAAGTGGCGGTTCCATTTCTGTAAATGCAATGGAGTCCCCCCTGCATTGGGCTATGTTCTTTCAAGCCGTTTTGGACGCTTGGAACATGCATTTGTCCAGTGTAAACATTTCAAAATCGCCATCGACAACTGCAGCATCATGTACCTGTGGTAAATGTTAGTGGCAGAACTGTCTGTAAGATCCTCCTTGTGACTCCTCTCAGTGACAAACCACTGCAAAAGCAAAACCAGCCCATTGAATACAGAATAATAAAAACATAGAAATCATTTGTCAAACTGCTGAAAGAAGCTAGGCAAAGGCCTGAACATCAGCTCTGTGTGACCATTATTTAAATACAGTCTTCAGTTCTGTCTGTGCTTCAGGATGGAGATTGACCTGTGTGGCCACTGCAGAAGCCACTTGCTGCCTCCCTAGCTAAGCCAGTTGGCCTCCACCTTCCCTCTCCCAGTTATTTTCTCTAGTGCTGCTTTGTGCTGAAGGAACATTTAGTTTACTGCACTTGATCTGTAAATGGACTTTGATTCTTTGTAATTTTAGGGGGTTAAATTTGGTGGTTAATTTAAAAAAAAAAAAAAGCAAAAAACCCCTCAATGTTGCCTTTACATCACATAAAAATAACTGTGTTTCTCTTTTCTTGAAGGGTGATAGAAGCACTGATTAGTAGCAAAATCTTGTTTTAGCTTTTGGATTTTTTTGTGCTGGATTTTTTTACGTGTAAATTTCCAATAACATGTCATTTCTATAAGATTTGTTTAAAATCATGTACCTCTTACTGGATGGTATAAAAATGCTACATATTTTGTAAACAAATCTGAGCAAAGTGTGTGTGCATATATTCTGTATATTCATATATGTATATTCTGTGTATATATACACTAGTGTGTATATATACATATATACACACACACGTGTATATATATATACACATATGCATATGTGTGTGTATATATATACATATCTATATATCTATATATCTATATATATATAAGTGTTTTCTCTTCCAGGCTAGTGAAAACAATGTGGTGCATTGGCGTTTCCCTCCCCTGTCCCCGAAGAAAATAATGACAATTGCCTCTAAATGAGTGAATTAAAAAAGAGTCCATTTAAGCTGAATGGTGTGCCTTCCTGTGTAAGGAGCCTGGCCAGTGTTTGTTACTTTTGCCGTGGATGTGTGAATTCAGAGCAGATAAGTATAAATCTTTAAGCTTGGTATATTTGTTTGAAGTGACAGGCCTGGTTGACACAGGTAATGCTGTTGTCATATATACTTAGACTGTGTAAGGCATTTGATTGGTACTGCGTAATATTTTGACTGAAAACTAAACCAATACAAAAATCAACATGGCACACATTAAATGGATTAAAATGTGGCTAAGTCATAGGTCTCAATTTAATTTTAAATGGTGCTTAATTGAGTGTATTTCCATCAGGATCTTCCAGCCACCAGTTCTTGGCCTTGCTTGACTCAGCCTTGTTAATAGGTTGCAAAGAAACAAACCCTACTTCTAACAAAGGCTGCAGAATATATGGGTACAGAAGGGAGATCAGACTTGTGAATTATGAAAAGAACAGCTCACTGATAAAGACTGATCAGAATTACTTTGTAAGCCAAGGGCAAGTAAACTATTTGCATTTTAATAGAGCCAAATATGTAGTGTAACATTACCCATCTAATAAATAACATTCAGGCCACAGGTGAAGGACTCTGTTTTGGAGGAACAGTGCTGTTGAAAGATTATGAGGATCGTTACATGTTTGCACTTGAACACTGCTTCCTAACATGTTTCTGTGTGGCTAGTGTAATGCTCACAGGTACAAAAAGAAATCTTTAGCATAAATGGAGAATTTATATTAACTTTATATTTGGCATTGATGAAATTGTTTTTTACAGGAACACTCAGTGTTGCTATCAGCAGTTAAAGAATGAAAAAAATCGGAAACAGCAAGAACTGTAACAAGGGTGTAAGTTCCATTCAGATGAGAAATGAGGCACTTTTTCAGACTGACATGAGAGTAACAAGGGTTATGATCCGTGCTAGAAACAATGAAACTAGTATTCTCTGCTTTCCTAAAGGATGTGCTGCTGCTCAGACAGGACCTATCTCAGGGAACACCTCTAGCTTCCACTTCTGTGAAGGCCACACTGTGTTTTGAATAATCTGTTCTTGTCTGTGTGGAAGAGGCAGCATGAGTAGAGGATAGGCCAGGGAGCTGTTGGAGTTTTTGGGTTCTCTTAGCTCCACCATGCAGTGAGTAGTGCCAGAAGAGTGATCTCACTTATTCTTCCCTTATCCTAAAAATTGAAACAAATGCATTTGTTTGCTTGTGGAGATCTAATCTAACACCTTCCAAAAGCCCCACAGGATGCAAAGATGAAAAAATTGAGGAGTGGCTGAGGGAACTGGGGGGGTTTAGTCTGGAGAAGAGGAGGCTGAGGGGAGACCTCATGGCCCTCTACAGCTCCCTGAAAGGAGGGTGCAGAGAGGGGGGATGAGTCTCTTGAGCCAAGGAACAAGCACCAAGACAAGAGGGAATGGCCTCAAGCTGTGCCAAGGCAGGGTCAGGCTGGCTCTTAGGAAGTATTTCTTTGCAGAAGGGGTTGTTGGGCGTTGGAATGGGCTGCCCAGGGCAGGGGGGGAGTCCCCATCCCTGGAGGGGTTGAAGAGTCGGGTTGACCCAGCGCTGAGGGATCTGGTGGAGTTGGGAACGGTCAGTGTGAGGTTAATGGTTGGACTGGATGGTCTTCAAGGTCTTTTCCAACTGACATGATTCTGTGACTGATGACAGGTGGTGGCATCACCTGAAGGCTGCAACTGTGGTGGAATGACTGGATAGCTTGTTTGGTTCGATCTCATCAATAGTACCCAGAAATACAGTTCATAGAAAGATGGGACTGCAGCAGCTATTTTCTAGCTCTTAAAGTGCTAGAGAGGACTGCACTACATATCTTACTACTTCTCTTTTCTAGGTATAAAATCAAGATTTACCCTGCATTTTGGTAGCGTTTTTAATTTATTCAGCAATAGTGCTAATTTTTTAGTAATACAACAAAAGTTATCAGCAAAGTTTCAAGAAAAATAATCTGCCTTCCAGCATCAGGAAGTTCATAAACTAGATTTTCCTGTTTCTGGAGTCCTCAGGGCCATGTAGCAGGCAGCCCTGGGAAATAACAGTTTTGAGCAGTCCTGACAGTTCTCATCTACATTTCCTTCTAAATGAACTGAAAGGAGGAAAAATACTGTCTCCAGTTGCTGCAAGCTGTTCAGCATGAACATTAAGTGACTCCTCTGGGATGACTGTCAGAAATAGGACTGTTGGGAGTTGTTCCTTGCAGGTATTACTGGGTCTGCTGCTTTTAAAACTTGATACAAGCCCACTTAAAGATCATCTGCCTCATGAAAGCACAGATGATGATTTAAAGGGGGGAAAACGCAAATGTATCTAAAAGGTTTGGAAAAAAGAACTCTGCACCAGAGAGCTGGAATACCTGATTGACTTTCTCTTAAATCTGATAGCAGAGGTTGAAGCTGTTGCTCAGTATTCCCTCAAAATAGTGATCTCTGTTCCCTTAGCTTGGACACTTGCTCATCTCACAACCAGCTCTGGTGTAAAAACTGTTAGGTTGTCATTTGCAACACAGTGGTTCTTAGGAATGCCACTTCACTGTCTATCTCCCTCCTCTTTTCATTAAAGGAGGGCAGTTCTTCACAAAAAGTGATCCTTCACTTACACAAATGCAGCCAGAATATGCTGGACCTAGAACAGGTAAGCAGATTTTTCTAATAACCAATCATTTTAGTGATGTTAATGCAGGTCATACAATTATTCTTGACTCAAGGGCTCCCCATAGACTTGTTCTGTCTTGCACAGAGGAACATATATTTGAAGCAGCCAGTAACAATACAGACTACATACAGCACCATTCTTATGGGAGGGGCCTTGAAGGAACCCCAAATAGTACTAGTGGATGACTGCCCAGTGAAGGTGTTTTGTTGGTAGGATTATGGATGTACAAGCAGAAACCTAATGGGCTGTCCTTTTGTGTCCTAGTTGTCTTGTAGTAAGTGGTAAGTAAGAGCGTTAAGAGTTCCTAAGGAGACTGGTATGAAGAATTCAGGTCCAGCTCATGCAGTCTTTTGAAAGATGCATGTGGGAAACAATTATTCTGTCTCTCCAGTTTGCTCATTTGTCCTGTTCTGCTAACCCTGAAGAGGAGACTTTAGAGGAAAGGGGAGGTTGTTAGGAAAAGAAAGTAGGTATTTCTGGTCTTATTGATTACAAGATCCTGTATTCATTCTTGAACGTGAGAGTACAGAACTAATGTACAGGACAGATGTCACTATATCATCCTTACAGTGCTTGAAAAGGACTCAGGTTTTCTTCCCCAGTCCTTGGTCTCTTCATGTCTTCCTCTAAGGTTTAGCAGATGTACTCTGAGTAGCTTCCTCCTTCCACTGAGCTTTCTTCTCAAAGTTTATGCTTGCGAGAGATTGATGCCTTTTCACAGCCTACAACATAGTGACAAAGCAAGAGCAGTAACTGTAACCTAAAGGACCACAGAGATGAAACATGAATCAGTAGTTTACAAAATACCTGGCCTGTCCTTACCAAGGCACAGTTCTGTCAACTTTAATGCCAGGAAGAGAAGAGTGAGTTAAAACATCCAGAGACGATTTTAGCTTAAAACTCATTGCTTCTCTGGGAATAAATTAAACCTTTTTGTTAAGGCACTAGAAGATACATTATGTGCTTCTGGTCAGCATTTAATACTAATCAGAGGTACTGGAAACAAAAGTTATAATAGATTCCAGCTGCTGTGGAAAGGGTCCCAAAATAGCTGTTGTCCTCTTTCCAGTGTTTGCGTTCACACTACTCCAATTTAAGAGGAAAATGTTCTGGGAATTGTCAGCGTTTGATCTCTTCTGCTAAAGCCAGGGAAAAACCTTTCCACGGTTTTGTTCCAGAGTCCTGGATCCTTTTAATTTTGCTAGGCAAATGCTGACAGAAACATCATTTGACTTCAAGAGTTCACAGTGCTAGGGTTGAGACCCTGTTACTAGTTTTAAGGTTTCTCTGGAACACTCAGTGGTCTATAGAAACAAGATCTGAACACTGTAATTAGAAGAACTGCTTCAGAGAAAGGCAGCATACAAATAAGTTCTTGCCCATACAGATGCTTTAAGATCAGGGTTTTCTGCTTCCAGTCATGCTTAACAGAAACACAGTCCATTACATTCTTTTACCACTGTGCTTTTTATCCAAAGTAACATGACAATCTCCACAGATTATATTCACATTCCTTGATTTGAGAGTAATGCTGCTGAGAGGTTTTAGCTTGGCTTCAGTACACACAAAGTGCTCCTTGCTTCTTTATAGAAATACCTCAAAGTTAATAGTTCACCAACTGTTAAACACAAAACTAAAACATGACTAACCATTGCTGCACTTGGAATCTTAAACTTTATGCTTAATCTCTTCATATGATGCAATTTAAATCATAGACATAATTCTGCCACGTGCTGAACTTCTTTGGCATCTTGCCAAATTCTACACAAGTAAAGGATATTCAGCATCTACAGAACATGGGAGCTTTTCTCTGAAACAGTTTTTCAATTCAACATAATTTGAGAAAACCTGTTCCATCTGCACTAAAGAGACTATTTTCTAATGCAATTAAAGGGCACAGAATTATTACTGACCATCATGTCACTGTTTAAAAGGACTTTTGAAAATTATCAAGTCTGTCTGTGGAGAAACATACTCATTTGCTATTTCCATTATATTGATTCTAGAGTGTTCCAGTATGTAGAGAGGCATTTGTAATAGGGCCCAAGGAGCATTTACCTGTCTACCAGATCCTGACAACAGAAGGTGCTCTTTCCTTTTTGAACTCTGGCAGCCCATCAGCAAAATTAAGGGGTTAAAACAACATAAGCTGAGAAAAAAAAAGTTGTCTTTTTTCCTTTTAAGGGAAGTGTATGCTTTCTAACAGTGCCATCACCCTTTTCTAACTTGGGATTTTATCAATGAGGGTCACTTCTGGGAGGATTTATTTTTAATTTCTGCTCAGTGATAAAATGAAAAAAAAAGACAGCCCACAAACCCAAACAAAACAGTACTAACAATCCATAGGAGGGACTGAAGTTTAAGACTGATTTACACTTGCCAGCCAAAAATCTCCACTTACCTGCTTCCCTTTAATCACCATGGCTATGCATCCCGCTATTGTCAAGACAATCATTACGTAGCTGAACTTCACACGCAGTGTGGTCTTTGCTGCTCTGATTGTTTCAATCCTCAAGAAATAATAATAAAAGAACAGACTCCTTATCAAACACCTAAATAAGTTATCTGGCTAATTGTTTAATTTCTCCTAGCATGCGATCTATACAGTTTTACATAATGCTAATGGTACTTGGCTCTTCTCACAGAAATATTCTACAAGAATGGGAAAGGCTGATCCCCAGCTACCTTTGGAGATACTTGGTCACAAAGGTGTTCCTCTCTCAGCTGGAAAAAACCCCAATATTTTAAACTTTGCTTATTGAATTGTTAAGAGACCATAGTGCCTTTCTAGACCTAGAATGCTCCTGACTGCAATGCAGAGGAGCAATGCTGCACTATTTAACTACGTATGTTCACTATGGAGAGGACAGGAAAAAGAGGGGTAGTTTTACTAATGTGTTTTCCTTCATGTCAGCTCCCTCTGTGCTCACTACCACCTTCCAATACCTGCAAAGCCAAAGAACACTCCATCTATATTAGAACTGTGATGTATTTAACATTGTAAAACATGCTTTTTCCCTCACTAGCCAAAGCATGGTAAAAAGTGGAAGGATGCATTATCACAGCTTAGCAATTCTTTCTGCCTGAACTTCAGAATAGTTTCATTTATGATGCAGTCTATTTTCCAGCAAGAATGCTTCCTCTACTACAGGATTTGATAGTGCTACAGATTACACACTGGCTGCTGAAGGTAATACTGCTCAGAAAGTCTGATTAGGACCCGGTAGAAGAACAGTGGTTGCCACTTCACTCCTGATAGAGTAAATAGTCTTCAAGTAATCAGTTTTCCTAAGGAGCTCAGGAGGCATAGAGGGTTGTAAGTTTTCCAATGTCAGCTTTGGACAGAGGACTCCTTTAAAATTTTTTATTTATTTTAGGGTGCTTTTCTAGCCACACCAGTAGCTATACTACTCCTTCAGGAAACCTGTTGCCTAGTCTACTGTTATATTTTAAAAACCAGAAGTCTTCCACAAGACTATCAGTTACTAAAGCATTCCAGCTGTACATGGGATGAGTTAAAAGAAAAAAAATCATGCTAGGTCATCTGAAAATTATCATTCTATCCAAATGACACCTCAGTTGCAGTTAAAGTTCATATTAGAGATAGCAGTGCAAGAAGGGCCAATGAAGCAGAATGCTTTTAGATGTGCTTTCCACAAAAACCAAAGGCTTACAGCCTATATATTTAACTCCCCTTGCAGAATTTAAAAGCAGTTAACTCCCTCCTGAAGGATGTCTAACATTCTCCCTGATTAAACTTGGCACATTAGAAAGTTACAAAGGACTAGAAAAGCATCAGCATCATGTGATGAAAGAATAAATGCATCAAACTACATAATTATACCTCAACACTAACATGGGTAGTGGATTTAATGGAACTGGGAAATTATCACTGTACACAAATGTGAACATGGAATCTTCTATGACATTTTCACTGTTACACTTGGAAGAAAAAAAGATACTGAAGGATCCATGATAGTTCAACAAGGTAAATTGCATGGGACCTAAGAACTGAAAAGAGTTTTGCTACTGTTTTTCAAGAGGAGGGCAAGTGATTTGATCACCATTTCACAATATTGAGCCAAGTACAAGATTTCTGATTATAGGGAAGACATCCATCTACTGTGAAACTAATAGCTAAATTTAGCTTCCAGGTTAATTGTTTTGCTAATTTGCAATGAAGAACTTGGGCACAGACTGCAATTAACCTGAAATGCACAGGAATAAGATTTAAAAACTTAGTTATTTTTTGAAGTACCTTAGATGTGTTAGAATACACAAGAGGAAAAGGTAATTACCTGAACATGATTTGCATTTTAAATCAATTCAGTGGCTAAGATTAATGTTTAATAAATGAGTTACTTCTGATCACCACATCTTGCAAGATTACTGAGTTCTATCACAAGTCCTTACAACCCACTCTTAATTCAGCTCAGAACTGGAAAATGAGCTTTTGTGCTTTTATAGTTCTCAATTGCCTTCTCAGCTTTGAGTGAACTATTTGCCTAAATAAAAATCAAAATCCCCTATGCACTTGCAAAAATGGTCAGCTTTTATCAGAAGTTGGTTTGTCCTTCCAATAAATCATTGAAATGGCTTCAATCACTCCCCTGTTTTCTTAAAAACACTCATAGCAAGTGTTTGGTATGCAAAAATACATGAACTGACTATAGAATTTAATAATCTATGCCTTTACGTATTTCAAGTGTATTTTTAAGAAAAAAGATTCAATACAACATTGAAGAATTCATTTATAGCAATATTTATCCATTGAGATACATTTAGAAGAAACTCAAGATAAATGGGTGGATTTTCAATTCCCATACAGTACCTCCGAACAAACAGAGTATCTTTTAGAGGGCAGCTACACAGTTTCTTTCCCAAGTAGTACAAGATTTACTCTATCTTTTTAATTTAAATAAATACATATATCTAAAAGCATTACAAGCATGTTTTAAAAGATAACTATACTACCACCAAGAATGTTTTTTACAGTAATAATTGCCTGTTGTTAAGTTTGATCTTCACTTTAGACAGGCAAGCTAGAACATCCAGTTTTATTTTCTACTTTTCACACAGGGCAAAGCACTGCCCTTTGCACTCCACCAGCAACAGGGAAATTTTGACTATATTTCCACTGTCAGCTTAAATTCCAAGAATAAAGAAAGTTGGCCCATGCCCTCTAGACATTCATTAATAGATATTTTAAATGAGTTTCAGTTATTTTATACCTACATCATGAAAGTTTCACACAGTGGGAGACTGACATATAAATAAAAATGCTAGAAAATGCTTACACTAACATTTGCAAAAAGCTTTTCTGATTGGGAGAGAAGAGTATAACTAACTCGTTTGTGATGTTTTTCTAATGAAACAACTTATAAATGCTAGTCATCCCTTCAGAAAAAAAAGCCAAAGGGATATATTACCTCAGCAAAAGAGAATTGCTTAGGTTATCTCATCTACAAGGCGATACACAAGCACAGCAGTGTAAGAATTTTCAGCTGTGAAAACCCATTCCATTGAAGAAAAATTATTCTGGACTTGCATTCAAGTTAACTTATTCCTGTGTAGTCAGTGTCTCCTTTATAGCTTCAAAACTGGCACTTACGAGACAGTCTCTGGTATATCTTCTGTTTTTTTGAAATGGCCTGCCCACAACAAAAATCTTTTCTCCCAGTCTGTAGGCTTGTGTCCAGGCACCCTCAAAGGAGGCCGACCTAAAAAAAAAACCCAACAAAATGCACAACCACCAAAACAATAGTCAGAAGCTGAACAGCCGCAGCTGTAATGCAACCAGTTAGAGAGAGCAATGCAGAATTTTAAGTGTGATTACTAGAGTTCGTTACAGAACAAAAAGTGTATCACAGTCAGATTAACAAACCTGTAAATATTGATTAAACTGAGGCCAATTAAGGAAAGCCAAAGCTTGCCCAAGACCTGTATATTTGTAGCTCTATAAATCTGCATAACCTGCTCCAGCATCTAAGCTTCCTAAGGTGCTATGATATGTTTTTCCTATTATATTTAAATTAGTTTAAAAAAAAAAATCAAATGGAACTGCTACGAAAAAGCCAATATGCTGCACCATTCCATCACAAAATGTTAACTTTTCCAGGCAGCGTAAGATTTTATCTTATCCGGGGGTATAAACAAACAGATGACTGTAGGCAAAGAGCAGACCCTCAGTTTTCCGCTCAGTCTTTCAAAATATTGAGAATGTAATAGGGGAAGGTTTCCATACAAAACATACCATGAAAATCTAGCAAACAAACTGCAAAGATAGACAGTTTTTTGTCTCTTTTTTATGGTCTCTTTCTTTTTTTAAGCAATAGGAGGTAACCTGTATGGATGTGTGCTGCCTCGTGAATTCATGAATTATCTAGGAAGTGGGGTGGATACACAGTTTGCTGACAACACTGAGTTAATCAAATACAAAGAGGGCTAAGCGCAAAGAGCCACAGGGCTTCAGAATCCTGAGTCAATGAGATGGCCAGTGAAACCACACACATATAGAGAGGAAGCAACTCCAGTTTATGTACAAATGACGCACTAACCTAACCATTATTGCTGAGGAGTAAGTCCTCAGGGTTTCATACATTTTGGCAAAATGTTCAGTAATAGTCAGAAAGGGAAACAGCATTACTAGCAATGATGAGGTACACAGGCCAACACAAAAAGCATTATTATGCTGTTGTATAAAACCGTGACTCCAGTATTTTGGAAAGCACGTGAAATACTGATCCCTCATCTCGGAAATAGCTGGAATAGAACAGGCACAGAGAAAAGTGGTAAGGACAGCCACTGGTATGGAATGGCCACCATATAAGAAACAGTATCACTGATTGAGAGCCTGTGGCCTGGAAAAGCAGTAACTGAAGCTCCCCTGAGCACAACAGAGAACACCAGAATCAGAAGTGATACTGGGATTGTGGGTTATAAGGAACAAGTAAGTCCTGCTTTAGAAAGGGTACTGAATAAAGGAACATCAGACTGAAAAAAAGAATGCATAAGGTTCAAAAACAAAGACAAGACCCTATTTGTTTTCTCACAGCATGGTTCAGCTGAGGAATTCCTTCTTGGACAATGTGGATGCTAAAAATACATCCAGGCTTAAGAGACTGGGCAAATTTATGACAGAAAAATCCAGTGAGGACTACTGAACACAAAGATGCCACTTCTGGGGCAGCAGTGTAGGGGAGAAACACTATGTTATGTTTGCCGTCTTCCTTAGATACTTGCTATAGGTCACCGTTCCTATTAGTCTTCACAGAAATGTAAGGGAAGTCATTTACTGGCCACTACTGGAGACACCATGCTGTTAGGAGGAGCTTTCTCTCACCCAGTACAGCTGCATGACATTTTAAACACAGAAGCATGCAAAATGCTTCACATTTGTATGCTCCTTTTATCTAGCATCGGTAGGCCATGATGGGAACTTACTACACAGTAAGTCTGATTAGAGCATCCTAACTGTCACATATATAGTGAAATACTGTTTCATGGCCTGAGCTTTACCTGACCAACTCCACCTTCAAACGTGAACCAACCCAACAATTCAGACTGACGCTCCTGCTGGGCATGTTCAATTTTGTGAACAGCTGCAGCTGGTTGTACTATGAAAAATTGCAGATGTTATTTTAGCTCATCCAACATTCCTAAACATCAACAGTTTACTTTGGGGTTGAACAGTGAGCTCTAGAGCACAGCTGAAGAGCCTTCAATCTAAGGCTGCATGTCAGGTAAGATACTAGTGACCTACTACAAAGCAAAAGCTGTGTTATTGTCACAAGAAGAAATACTGACTCCTGGCTTTGTTAGAAAACCAGATTTTGTTGCTAAATTTAAAGCTGAGATTTTCAGAATAAAGTTGAGAATTCTCTCTCAAAATCAGGGACATTAGTATCGACATCAGCCAAAACTTCCTGTTCAGATGATTTCAGCCTACATATCTAAGTATTTTGTGGCATGAATCATAGCATGATCATTATCAAAAACTCTTACTTCTTGGCTGAAGTTGACCTTCTTCCTGGGGTTTAATGCAAAGTCTTCTGCTTATCTTTGGATCTGTTCCTTTAGTCATCTGCAGAATTGAGGGAATATTTCTTCCCAACAGTTTAACAGCCCTATCTGGAAGAGAAAGCAGAGGATGCAACAGGGCCAAATCTAACTCAGAACAGTGGAAAGCAAGAATACTATCTTTTAAATGGAAGTGTTTGGGGCTTTTTAAAAACAAGAGGAAAAAGAAAGAAAAACAATAGGTACAAATCTAATATTATCAAGAAACAACAGATTTAGTTGTAACAGAGCCTACCGAAGAAATTAAAGCTTGTCTGCGAGTTATGACTTAAGCTTGCCCATTAACCTTATAGAGAAAAAAGGCAATGCAAGATTAGAGCCTACAAGCAATTTTAAAAACACAATGCACCCGACAATTTCAAGAAACTCAATCTATTTAAATGCTTAAGATATACTTTGGACAGTGCTATTTCAAGGACCGTACACCAGCATTCTACCAATCCTGTCAGATCCCAAAAGCAAGTCACAGACTTGACAAAGTCAACAAAAAAGCCAAAAAAGCAGAATCTTGCCATACAGATACCTACTGTTTAGTGTATTAGTAAAGGACAGGGTACCGTATATATGAAAACATACTCCCAAGAGCAAGCTTGTAACAGATCAATTAATATGATGAAAAATTTCTGAGGGAGGAAAAAACAACTTTGAAAGGTAAAAGGCACTTTTAAAAATATCAAGCGAGTTCTTTTTCCTCTTTATGCTGGCTAAAAAGGCCTCTCCTATGAAGAACTACTGCCCTTTATTTTCTAGGCATAATGCATTCCATCTCTGAAAAAAATAAATTTACATTTATAGGGAACCCCCAACCTCAACGAAACCAAACCCTTTTCAAGGTCTCAGAGAAGGCAAAAATGCAGAAATCTTTCTTTTTTTAAAAAAAAAAAAAACCAAAAACAAACAAACCAACAAACCGTCAGGCTGCCTCGGGGTTGACAACGTCGCCTCGCCCACCGCCTTACTGGCGAACCGGCGGGCAGCCTGTGCCCTAGAGCCCCCCGGGGCTCCTTCCTGGGAGCCCGCGGTGCGGGAGCCTCCGTGGGCGCCTTCACATTGTGAAGTACCACGCGTGTCTCCATTTGGACTTTGGATCATATTGGAAGCTGCTGCTCAAAGCAGTGTCGCTTTCAACGTATGGATTATAGAGTCAAAGGGATTTCTATAGGAACAGCAACACCTTGATTTTAGAAAGTTTCTCTTTTAACTTGTAACTTGGAGGTTTTTACGCTCTGCTGAGTTGTTGTGATTTTCTTTCTCTCCCCACTTAGTTGATGGATGCTCACACCAGCAGAGAGAGAATCATCAAAAACTGCATTGCTCAGACTTCCAGTGTAGTGAAAACTCTCAGAGAAGAGAGGGAAAAGGCCCAGGATGATGTAGCATTATTAAAGCAACTCAGGAAAGAGCAGACAAAGGTGAGTGGTAGAGCTTTTTAGATATCACTTAGAGAGGAAGAAGAGGGTGTGTTTCCCAAGCAGGAAGACCAGTGTGATGGAGACAACCTGAAGGGGACTCTGACTGACTCAGCCGGTCTTTTCCAAGGCTCTTGTTGGCTGGGTTTGTAACAACCATGTGCCCTAGCCCTCAAAACAGAGCTGCTTTTGCCCTGCAAGTGGAGCGTTTTTGGAGATCCTGTGACACAAATGCTGTAGACAAACACATATGTTTCCCCATTGTGGCTCTAACCTTCACTGGCTAACACCACTTAGTCTCACCTGGGGCTTGCTTAGTCCTTTCAAAATGCCTGAAAGTTCATTTTGCCTTCTTGAGATCTTGTCAAACTAGTATGTCTGCAAACAGCGGGTATGAGTGCCAAGATGCAAACACCAGAAGATAATGAAATAATGCTTTTGTATATGTTTCTTTCACCACATGGTTGTGCAGCCTTAAAACTGTCCCTTTTCATTGTTGCCCTGAGAAACATTGTTCTCGGCGTGTTAATTGGAGTTTCTGTCCTCTATGAGGAGCTGCCAGGCAACTTTGAAATCCACTTTTTTAATTGTTTAGTATTTCCTGGATTAATTTTTTTGAGTACCTTGTGATGGTATGAGAGAGATTTCTGGGTTTACAGAAGGCATTTTAATGTGCAAACACCCTCTCAACCTTCTGGCCTCTGGATGAAAACCAGAGGTGAACAGATGTGATCTGGATGGAGGATCAGAATTGGAGAAGGGAACCCCGCTGAAGTTTTTTCCTCATTCCAGGGCCTCATTTATAGGGGAAAGGATACCACATGTGTAGCTCTAGGAGTGGAGATTAGCAGGGATGTGAACTGTTCCATTGATTTCTCTTCCAGACCTGCTCCTCATGGCTCATGTTTGCTTTACATTTTTTTCCACACCGTATGCTTGGAGCACGTACTAAATAAGCTTATTACATTTTTTGCATACGCTGGCTAGGTGTGTCTGTTTGTGTTCAGCAGTTTAGTGAGCCTTCCTCTGTTGAGGACTATCTTAACCAGGGTTTCTAAACTTAGGGTTTCTAAACTTCGAGTTTCCAATGTAATGCTGAGTTCTCCTCATAACAGCCAGACATCCCAGTATCATTTATATAAATATATACATATATATAGTCCTATATCCTGGGTGCAGCTTTCTCTGCTGCAGTACTACAAGACTTGAAGAGATGGGTCTTGAAATTTTGCTTGAAATTTTTTCCCAGGCACTGCGTGAGTGAACTGTTTGTTCATGTGCTCTTCAGAGAAGTGCTCTGTCACGAGCTCAGATTTAAAGAAGCAGGTGACAGGCAAGTGGTTTTATTCTTAAAGCTTCACTTACGGAACTGCTAACAAGCATCCCTGTTAGTGTGGAAAACTAGAATGGTAGTTTAGTATTTTCTACGAATTTTGTTTGCAGAGCCAGTTCTTTAAAATAGTTTAGTTATTGAGCCCAGAACCTATCACTGAAACCATGAGGAGGATCACAGTGATAACGTTTAATAATTGGAGATGATCTCAAATGTTAAAAGCAATCCATGATTTGGAAACGTCCCAGAAATCTTATGAGATGGCCTCAAGTTTGCAGTTGGACTTTATGAGGTGTAGTCCCCCACTTTTTTTTTTTATTCTTGTGTGAAAGTTATTTTTCTGTTTTTCCTACAGCTCAAGTAACCTAGCTTGATAGAATACGTCCTACATTTAAGATTATGCATTTCAAATGTATATTCACTTGATTGCAATACTGATCTGGTTTCTTTTGTTATTTGTGTTTCTATTACCCTGCTAATGGTACATATTGGAGGACTTCATACAAAATTATTACTTTGAGGTCACTGAATAAGAAAACTTGGAGTAGTGTCAGTCTGGCAGCCAATTCTTTGAATCTGTTTACATTAACACATCACTGGATTATTGTATTATTTTTTTATCATCTTTACTTGAATGAAGTGTCAAAATATCCAATAAATAGATTCTGGAAATCCAAAACATACAGTATCGTGATTATTAGCTTTATCAAGTGAGTTAGGAAGACTTGTTAAAATGTCAGAGTATATTTTAGAAACAACAAATCCTCCTCTATAGCCATTTTGATTGATGCTATATTGGTATTTAGGTCTGCAACTCTGAGGAAAAGGCTAAAATAGTAGTTTTACTTAGGCTTGGTGTCAAAGGCAATTAATGTGACAGTCCAGATGATTATAAAACTTGTTCACATCCTCCAGGAGGAAAAACCTTTCTTTGAACTGCCAAGGACCTTCTGGGTTATTTTATAGAGACTAGTCCTGGTCATTTAGTCTCTTCATGGTTACTGAATTGTTATTTCAAACAGTTTGAAGTGTTGAGTAGGTAAAAGTCCATCCACCAACTGTAGTAACTGTGTGTGTCTGGACATCTTACTTTGAAGGTTTTTGATGGGATTCCTGTCTTGACTTGCACCTGTTCACCAACTCTAATTGGAACTATGTCTTTGAAATGGATAAACTCCAATCATCAGTCTGTTGCGTTAAAGACTCCAACAAAAATACATCCTAAATGTAGGCAAAAATGACAGATGGTTCTTATATCTCCTACTATTGCTTCAGGGTCTCGTGGTAGGGTTAAATTACCACAGATCACCTGAACACAACTGTCACACCAGCCCCTTGGAGTTTCTAATAAGTGCAAAACAAAGAGATTCTTGTGTTTCTCATGGATTGAGTGAGTGCTCAGGAGCTGTCCACTGTGGTAGCCCTTGCCAGAGCTTTTGCATCTGTGTAAACCTGAATTGTCCTGCTGTGATCACATAATATTAACTGGTTGAGATAGTGTGAACATACGTGATGTAGACCTTTTTTTGGTCAGCGCACAGAATAGATGCAAAGGAAGCAGAGAAGCTCTCTTCATGATCTTAATTCTAAATCCAGAATCTGACATCTGTGTTCAGTCCTAGCTATGTTGCCAGCTCCCTATATGACTCCAATAATGCCTGTGTGGAGGAATTGACAACTCAGGGCTTCAGAGCTAACCCCAGCACTGGCATTCTCTGTGTTGAGTGCTTGAATTAAGTGTAGTTATTTTTGTCTGTGAAGACATTAATGTTAATCAGCTGCTTGCTAGCAAATCTTGACAGGTAATATTTAAAAACAGAGTGTTAGTAATCAGGAGCTACCTCTGCCAGGCTTGCATGGCGAGTCTGCCTTCACCATGCCCTTGTAGACTTCGGTCTCCCTGAATATTGGCTGAATGGAAAGGCCAGGCTTTCAGGAGGATTACACATCGTGCCCTTCAGTTTGCATTATCGGAGGGGACGTGCACCTGGTCCTGGGGTTGTGGTCTAGAAAGTTGCAATGGTAGTAAATACTGATGGCTGCATCGAGGCCTGTTTGACAATAACCCTTTATCTGTTACTTTCTGCAGTTGAAACTGATGCAGTCGGAACTGAATGTTGAAGAAGTGGTAAACGACAGAAGCTGGAAGGTACTCAGTCATTTAAAATAGCGATGATGTTCTGTCCTGACAGACAGTCCTGCACTGGAGGTGTGGGATTGGTGCCTTATGAGGCAGGTTAATTAGAAATAGGGGAGGGCAGTGCTGGGGGAAATGTTTTAGGTCAGTCATTTTCCCAGTTCTGGATGCAGAGATCAGAGTTTTTCAGCTGCACTGCAAAGAAAAGCATCTGATTCAGAGGGGAGGAAGGACTGTGGAGTACTCCCTTTCTCCTCCTTGCCCAGGAGCTAAGGACTCTGTAGACTTCTGTGGTGGCCTGTCTGAAAAGCTTTGCTGGGTCTTTAACAATGTCAGAGTGATGAGTCGTTCAGATTTGGCCCTGTTTGGTACTGATCGTGCTTCTGAGCAGAGGCCAGAGGAGGGTGGGGCTGTAGAAGTTGAACCTTTTCCTCGTAGAGCTTCTGCAAGTCCAGACTGATGCTCCCATATGCAAAGGGTAGGCTTGCTGTTGCTCTCCTCTGTCAACAGAGGGGGCAGATCTCCCTCTGAATTGATGTCCCCAGCCACTGTCTTGTTACTGTGATTTTAACACTGAGCTTAAATTCTGAGGTGCCTGTGTTCTGTCACTGCAGCATTCGCATCTAGCATCCTCTTCTGGTTTGTTGCATCTTTTCAGAGCTTTCAGTACTGCGTAGAGAACCTCTTGCCCTCTCTAAATGCAAAAAGGATTTTTACAAATAGCTAGTACTTGCTGCATCTCTCTTCTTAATCTCTGCTTCAGGATTTTAGTCCCCTAGATTGCATTGTGTAAAGGCAATACAGCTTTAAGTCTTATGTATTCTTGGAGGTCTAGTCACCACAGTACATCTCAATGCAGGCTGATTAGATAAGAATTTACATGGTTTTCCAGGTATGCTTTGCCATCAGTACTACCTCTGTACTGCCTGAAAAACCTAATCATGCTCTTAAGCTTAATGAATTTTAAACCAGCTCAGATATGACTAAGCAGCGCCACAGCCTTAACAACATGCTGCAGGTTACCGGTGCAAATATTTTATGGTGACTCTGCTCTAGGGGGCCAACAGCTGCCTCCATCTTCATTCTGAAACCCCCTAAACTTAGAACTGATGCCAGTAATTTCCTGTAGGTGCATTAAGCTTTTGCTAGTGACAGAAATGTCTAATTTTTTTCTGAAGAAGGGGAGTTCTGAAGTTGGAGAGTTTATGAACAATGAGGTATGCATGGTGCAGGGATATTTTAGCATTGAGCCGCCTGTAAAAATATGTTATTGAAGGAATTAGAACCATAGTTGTGAACCAAATGCAGTATGTTATATGGAAGTGGTTATTGGTTTGCATGTGAGGAACTCCACTCTATTTTAGTGTTGCAGACTTTTAATTGGAGAGTACATATATATTTACATTAACCCTAATCAACTGAAAAGTGATTGGAAAAATCTGATTAGGAAACCGTTATTTTCAAACACACACTCTGGGGAGCTGTAGCAATAGTGCCGTACAGGAAAATGCTGCTTTATAGAAGTGCATGCAGTGGAATTTTGTTTGGCTGATACCAAACAAGGAATTGACTTGCAAAACAAGACCCTTGTGATACTCCCTGTACAGCTTCTCCGCAGTGGAGTTTGTCGTTGCAGTGTTTTGTATTAATTCGCAAAAAACAACAGCAGAATCAGACTTCTGCATAGCAACACAAATGTTAAGATTTCTCAGACACTGTTTTTCCTGTCTGAAAAATTAGGATAGCACTTCCCAGGTAGACTGATGGAGTTAAATGGCCTGTCTAACACACAGAGATCTGTGGGTCAGTGATCCTAAAAGTAGGAGATGGGTAGTAAGATTGCAGTATTGATCTTCCACAGTCTGAGAGTCATGTTAAAGGTGCTTTAAAAGTTTTCATGACAGCAAGCTGGTTTGTTGTTTGATGCAAGAGTCCCTTACAGTGTCTTCGAGTGTATTTCCAGTACCCTTTAAGACTTACATGCCCTTAAAATGTCTTTGACAGACAATGGACAAGAGTGGTGCAATTTTGTTAGTATTAAAATGTTTCTAAATAGGAACCCTTTGTGGCTCTTTAATTTCTACAGTTTCCTTCTATCACTTACCTGATCTCAGGCCTTTACATGCTTTTAACTTTTCCAGAGGTGTCCATTGCATGTGGTAACGTAATAGGACAGGCTGGCTGCGTGTGTGTGAAAGAAGCTATATCACATCTTTTGTTTTCTGCAATATGAAGCAGTTTTTAATATGTGTCTGTTTCTTGAAGTAAATTAAGTTTGAAAATAAGTTGAAAATTACTCAAAAATTTTTAAGAATCAGTGCTACAACTAATGCATGCTCCAAACTTCACTTTTGCTGAAGTTGCCATGTGTTCTGAACTCTGAATAAGGAGGTGAGCTGTAGAAGATTCTAGGAAGGTACAGTTTAAAACATATAAAGTGATGCATAACTTCTCCAAAATTACAAGACCACTCACTTTGCACGTGAAGCCAGTAGGAGAGTTCATGAAACCTGATATCCTGAATATCACAGGCATTTAGATCTGAAAAGTCCCTGGACAGCTTGGCAAAACTCCTGCTCTTGCAGGAGTGCTGATGGGGCAACTAATAACTGCCAGTGCCTCAACTTGGTGCTAGGTGGTGCTCGTGTTGCTTTTCAGGACGTGCAATGGACAAAGTTTGGAGCCAAAATGCTAACTATATCGCTTGTAAAGAGCACCTGTAACTTTTGTGGAGCTTATGTCTTGTGCTTTTGATTCAGACTGCTTTACTTTAAATAGTCGCGTTTATTGGCTGTCCTTAGGGTAAGCAGTCTGTTTGACAAGGCCTGCAGTTCATTCTCTAGTTTTGTGTGCTAAATTTTACCCAGAAAGGTGCCAGAGGCGAGAGCGGCATGCCCTTTGCAGTAGGAGGGCCGGCAGCATCAGCATCTGTGATTAGATAAGTAAAAGTGCAAACCTGGCTTTCGAGAGCCCTTACACCTCTTCTTAGGTGTCACAGCAATGTAAAATGTGTTTGCTTGGGAAAGACAAGAATACAGTGTCCAAATTTAACAGAACACAGCTGGTCAGGAGCCTTCCACTTCAAAAAAAAGGCATTATCATCTTTGAGGATGACAGACTACCAGGATTATAAGCCTGCCTTATCTGAGGGAGAACACTTTTAGTGCTGTGCAGTCCCCCAGCATCAGGCTGCAAACTCTGGATTCACTAAAGCCGGGAGAGAAGGTGAATGGAGACAGATGCCTTGGTAAGTACCATTTATTGGTACAGCAGGGCTGGGCAGCTTGAGATGGGTGCTGTGTGAGGGGGTATTGCCTGAACTAGCTCTGAAGTTCTGTTCATCTCCTGGATGAGGGCTGATTTGCTTTTGCTCTTCTGTTTTGGTGTCTCAGGTATTTAATGAACGTTGCCGAATTCACTACAAGCCTCCGAAGAGTCAATGATGTGGGGTATTTTTCATCAAGGTGGTCCATAACCATGAGAGCCAAACTGGAAAGAGACCTTGGGTGAGCTGTATTGGGACCCTCCAGAACCAGTAGAACCCAGTCTTATTTGTTTTGGACCTGCTTAGCTGAAATACTAAGGTTGAAGTGATTCTCCTGTAATTAAGAGAAAACAACTCATCTTTTGTACAAAATATGTGAACAAATGAGTTTTATAGTATTAAAATAATTTTCAAATGGAATGCGAAACTGGCATCTTTCTTGAACTTCTACAGCTTCAACAGTCCTAGAGGGGGAAAAACTGTGAAAACCAGCTCTGAGCAGGACTCTCCCTGAACTGGTGCTTTCTAAACTATCAGTGAACATGGTGTGTTTTTGCAAATAACCAACTAAAATCTGAAAAGAAGTAAAAATGACAGAATGATCAGCAAGTATAGATTCAGCATCCCTGAAAGTAAGAAGCTACCAGCATTGTTCTGAACCTACTCAGCACTAGCAGCGCTGGTTCAGAGTTGCATGTGGATACAGGTTTGCCATTTTCCCACAAAACTGGCAGGCAGCATCTGTTGCATGCTGTCCTTTGGTCTGTGTTACCAAGTTCTGGATTTTTTATTTAAATAGGGAATGTAGTGTCAATTAAAACCACTTTGGGTTGGAGGTAAAGATATGTCTCATTTGGGAATGAGACAGTTAACTATCCAGTGACCCCATTTTTGTCTCTCCCTCTGAACCTCTACAATTAGTTCTGTAGGTGAATATTGCATTTTAACTGAGAAAACAGCTGTGTGTATCTGATCCTGTTGATTCTGGCCACAGTGGTGTATTTAAAAAGCTTTGATGCAACACCCTTGGAGTAATACCGCATTTAAAAGCAGATAAGTAGGAGGAAAGCAGCATTGCTATAATCATACTTTTATTTTTTACTGACGCTAATTGGCTGACAGGCAAATGACAAGGTCTGCTTTGTTGCTGGCTGTTACATTACTGCTTTGTGCCTAGCTGTTTTACTACTTAGTGATAAGTCTTTAAGAACCATTGAACTTGAACAGAGTCTTAAAAGTATGGGCCTCATCTTGCAAACACTTTGGAATTCAGTAATGGCACTGAAATGACTATACACTCATTTCCCTAAAAGCTCTGCATTTGTGGGGGGTGGAAAGTAAATGGAGGAACGTACCTGTGTTACTGAAAGCTGGCAAAACTCTGTTCAGCATCATCTGTTTTATAGTTCTTTGTCCAGTAGAGACTTGGACTACTTGGTGGCCTTTATTTTTAGGCAGCAAAGTCATTTATTCTCACTTTTCTTTGAGAATGAAGCAGAAATTTATCTTAAGACTTCGAGGATGTAAATCCTAACGTTCAAACTTCATTTTTTTTCCCCTTTTTTTCCCCAAGGTACTGGAACTGCTCTAAGCAGAACTTTACTCCAGTTGGAGCGCTCATCTCACTTTCGAAGTATTCTCATTGTTTTTCTGCAACTCTGAAAGCAGAAAGCCTATTTGTTCTTCAGTGATTCAATTCTTATAATTGTGTATCCTCAAAGTGGAAAGCAAATACTGCTCAGAACTGTGGGCTGATTTGCCAGTAAACTAATTTCCACTGGAGGTGGCCCACTAATGAGATGTTGAGAACAGTTAGTTTTGGTTTCAAATATTGACCTCTAATATAGGTGTCAAAAATATTTGTTCTCTCCAGGGCCTGTATCTGCAACTGCAGGGTCAGATTTTCCTTTTAAGCCAGTTGTATGATAGAAACTTCTGCCAGCATGTATAGAGTTGGCATCAATGCTCTTGAAATTTAAGCTTTTGTTGTATTTCTGTAGAAACTAAAGATTGTAAAGAGAATTAATCATTGTCCTCCTCTGTCCATCCAGATGTTTGCTCAGCTGTTGTGGGGAAACTTCACTTAAGCAGATGCTGTGAAAATGACCTGTGAAGTGGATGTGTGATACATACACAGATTTTTTTTTTTTTTTCAGTAGACCAGCCTAGCATTTGTTATGAGAACTATGGAAAAAATCTCAACCCCAACATAGCACTATTTTTCCTTTGAGTATAAGGCTAAACAAGTAGGTCTATACAAACCTGTATATGACAAACTTCTGACACCATAAGAAGACGTCTAAGTCCCAAACATCCCTTTTTCAGGTGTTTGCAGCTTGTATTCAGAGTGTTGCACTAAGAAGTTGAATTACTCTGTTTAGTTTGCTCTGAGCACAGAGGGATATCTCTTATAGTACATGGCAAATCACATGGATCAGAGACTGTTTGAATCTTGCTCTTGAACTTAGTGGAACTTAAGGTGAGTAACTGGAATTGCATGCCATGCCTGGGGGCACAGGGAAGGAGAAAATGGCTTTGCTGTATTTTGAGTACTTCAGATCTGCCTGTGGAGTGGGATGGTTTGTGATGATACGCAGATGGCCTTGGTCTGAGCCTTGGGCCATCCTAAACAAAGGCAGTTAAAATCTCTCTGTCTAGTGATCCCTGTCCATTCTAGCTAGGATCATGCTTAGTCTGCAACTGAGTCCTGCTTCAACTTCAACATCAAGGTAGTCACAAAATTACTGGACTGGTTGATGTCATATGTGAATCAAACAAGGGACCCCACAAATACCAGGATCTCATCCTTTTCCTGGTTCTGGTTTTTATTTTTGCAAGTAAAGGCACTTGAACAAAAAGCACAACTGATGCCTCTGTCCAGAGTCTAGATCTCCTGCAGGTGGCTTACCCCTTTGGGGCTCTCCTGTTGCTTGGAAATAGTGAATATGGAATGGAGAATGGCTTGGAAAGTCCTCTCAAGCGTGTGCTGCTTATTCCCTTCTGTGAAATAGAAAGAGGTGTCTTTTTTCTGGCACTCAGTGCTGTTGCCTTCTGCAACCTGTAGGCACTCAAGACTGATGAAATAGGTAATCTCTTCACAGAATTGTTTTAAGGATTGAATTTGTTTGTCTTGAAGCAGACCAAGGCAAAGAAGCTTTTTACTGGTATCATAGGCTCAGCATAGGTGAGAATGTGGTAACTACATGTTGCTGAATTTCAGGTTTCTGTTAATCCTAGTTGATGTACAATGTCGGAAATCTTTTGAAATCAGTGGGTAGCAGGAAACCTTTTCTTTAGAGAAGCTTGTTGAAATTCAAGGCTGTTGTTACTGTGATGATGACAAGTAGATCTTCAATTGTTAGATAGAGGGTTGCTTTCCTTTAGCAGCTCTTTAAAATGATGCAGACCACATGTCATTTCATCCAGTCATAATTACGTGTCTTGTCACTGCAAAACTGACTGACCTACTGGCTTAGCTTTCACAGTCATTTCTAGAAGTGGCTTAATTTCTTATTTTAAAATGACTCATAAATACATAACCCTGGGGTTTGGATTTTGTTTTTTTTTTTTCTTCTTTGTTTTGTTACTGTATCGGTGTTTTTATTGACTATAGCTGCTACTTCTTAAAATTGCTTACACGGGATCAAAGAGTAGGGACCTGCAAGCTGTGAAGATTTATTTCTTCATTGTTGGAATAGTACATAGTATGAGATGTTACTCAGCTTTAAAACTGTAATGAATACTAGTGCTGTTCTCCCAGCACAGATTCTCCAAGTTAGCAGCAGTACCGTTAAGAGAAATTGCCATCTGTGCAAATGGTGAGCGTAGGCTGGAATGGTATGTAATGTAATATCAAACATGTCTCAGATACTGAAGTGGAGACACTCACTAGCTTGTCAGTGTTGTGCAAGAGATGGAATGGGGACAGCTGTTCCAAATGCTGCTTCATTAGCTCCAAAGTTTAATGGGGAGAGGTGTGTAGATAAGTGTTGCCTGGGATAGTCTGTTGACAGGGATCATCCCTGATAGCAGGTCTGTGAAACATCAGCATTTCAAAGTGACTTCATGAACTATGTGTGCAGGATGAGTACTGCATCCCAGTCTTAGAAATACCACTAGATTTTGGGACAGCCATTAGCACTCCCACAGAAAGAAAACAGTCCAATTGGCCTGTGTAAGCTTTAGCATTGGCTTACTGACCATTGGTGTTGTTTTCCCATCCCTTCTACACAACTCTATGCATTCTGAGGAAAAAAAAGAAACCCCAACAGTTCTTATGCTTTGAAGTCGAAAACGCAGAAATAGAGTCCAATGAATGATTTCCATGCAACATTAACATCTTTAGTTTCATACCTAGAGTTTTCCCAAGTTTATAGATTAACCCTCCTAGTCTTTGTGCTCAGTGTATTTCTTAGTAATCAGAATCAGGAGTTCTCCAGGGAGGCACTGCTGCCTTGGGGATCTTACCAATATCCCTTCTCAGGGGAGTTAGTTCATCCTGGTGAGTGGAGAAGTTTATAAAATACCCTCATTTAGCACTGGTGCTGCATGGTTGTTGGATGCATTCTGTGGCTTCTGGCATGAGTAAGGTGAGCTTGGTCTTCTAGTTCAGTTAGCTCATCTGTCCTGCTGTGTGAATAAGATGCATGGTAGGAACACAGTTGGAAGATGACCAGCATTTGGGTGAATCAGCAGGGTCTTGTGCAAAAGATGGCATTTGAGCTCATCAGCTTGAATTGTCAACTCTGCAAATTGGGCTGTGAGGAACTCCTCATGTCAGGTGGTGAATTTGGAGAAAGTGGCAGACTTCCAGTTTTAACATCTCCCATTCCCTTTATTCCCAAGAACTGGGAACGTTCTCTGTTCAGAAAGATGTTGTCTCAGGACAACTGTTTTTCCTCAAATGCCTTTCATCCACTTCCGTAACACTGCTACTCAAGTTTGGGAAATTCTGCAACATCCTTATCGGTAACATGCTCTTGCCTTGATCTGTTGAGTTTAGGGCCCTTACAGGCTCAGTTTCTCAATCTCTAGTCCTTTGTACCAAGAACAGGCCTTGAAGTTAAATATAAAGTACTTGTTTACAGTTCATTGCATCACTTGTCATCCTTGAGGAGAGTCAGTAGGTTGGTTAGGACACCGATAAGTCTGTACTGCACGACCAACATTGCTGGGCCATGAACAGGCTTGTTTAGTGAATTCCCCAATGCTGATTCCAGCAGAAATGCCCATTGCCTGTGTGCAGCATGTACTCATTTCACCCCCCTCCCATAGACCCGCCCCATGGGACTAAAAACTGTCTGGTCTGTTGCTACTTCTGTGGTCCTAGCTCTGCAACAACATACCTCCTATTTGCTGGAGAGGGGGATGGCAGGAGTACCAAAGGGGACTAGTTTTTCTGTGGTCTTGAACTGTTAGCTCTTGCTAGCCTTTCCTCAGTGGGTTGCATGTGCTTTGAGCTTTGTACATTCATAATGGTCATGGACATGACTGTGTCATATGTCTGTAACTGCAGAGTGAATTCTTCTGACAGTATATTCTGCATGTTACATATTTCAACAGTGTATGAAATCTAAGAACCTTGAAATTAGAACAGCTATTGTATACACACAACTGCTGTAGTGAGAGGGATTGTACTTTGTCTTCCAGGAAATTGGCACTAGAGTTTCAATAAAAATGTAAATGGTACTGCATATACAGTTGTTATTATGATTGCCTGAATGGAACTATAAGTTTGATAGGAAGGAAGCAGTAATAACTTATTTGCAGTAGTCACCTGAACCTAGGTTTTTTCCCCTTCTGGTTCTGGTGTGTACCTTAGCACCTTTGCGGTCAGGCAGAGGGAAGTAAATTGTGGTCTGCTCCCATTTCCCACTTGGAAGGATGTTGAGGCAATACAATTTCAAGTTGAATGGGAGCTGTGCTAAGGAAATTAATGCATGCTTTCTTCTGACCTTGAATGGTGTTGGGAAATACTGGGTGTGACTTTGATCTGTTTCCTAAGTGCACAGACTAGTCATTCGCACATGGGTGGAGAGGCAAGAGGTTCTAGTTTCAGCCCAAACCAACTGTCATAAATTGTGGGTGGCTGCAGGCTGTTGTTCACTTTCCTTATTGACATGGAGACTATATACACTTAAGATTTTACAGTGCTTTTTACATTTACTGTTAATATAATCAGTGCTTTACTTTGCTTTTCCCTTGTTTTCCCCGTTTTTCTCCTCCAGTTCAGTAATGGTAGGCTCTGTATGTTACAGGTCATATGACTCCATGACACATGTATGTGTGTATATATAGACAAGATGCCTGGTGACTGTTTAGACTGCGCTGAACTTCCCTCTTCAGAATCACCCAGCATTTCAAAGAAGTTACCTGCCACTATGATGACTGGGGGCTTATCAGATACTAAGCCTGCTACTCCAGAAGTCCAGCATATCGTTAACCAGGTGAGTTACAACCTATCTAAAGGTGAAGTCTCTGTGTGCGAAGGGCCGAGTCTGGAAGCTTGTGCATTCTGAACCACTGGTGATTCTGAACCACTATTTAAACTGAAGAAGCTAGCGCTGAAAATGCAAATCCCCTTGATGGCCAGTAAGTATTTTCTCAGCGTTTTGCACAGTGTATGGTAAGATCAAGATAAACCACTTTGCTGTTTCATCCTTACCTGGCATTGTACTGGCTGCCTTTGGTTAATGTTTGCATGTAATTCAAAGACCAGTTCTACTATGCCAGCACTGAGGTCACTAGTTTGAAATTAAAGGTGGTGTATTTGAAGGGAGAAGATTGTACCTGGTAGAATTAATCCCTCACTGAAAGACATGGATAGGACAAACCATGTGGTAGCATGCTCTAAAAAAAGATACATCCAGGACAGGGCTATGGATAAACAGCGTTCTGCTGGCATCTAGCACAGGGGCTGTGGGTGAGCCAGCGGGGCGAGCCAGGTAAGCTTGCCATGAGGCAGGCAGGGTGAGGCCAGTTGCCATGGTGGTTGGCTACAGGCAGCAGTCCTGTGCTGGAAGCAGCTGTGTGAACAACACCTCTGCGGATACTGTTAGCATTCTGCAGTGCGGCAACTCTTAAAAGAGTATAAAGCACATCCTGAAGAGCGAGAGGGGAACAATGTGGCATGGGAAAGCTCCTTTCCTGTCTCCTGTCTCGTGTTCCTACCCACCCACCTGATCCCCTTCATCCTCCCAGCTCTGGAAGATGAGCTTTTCCCCCTTTGGCAACTGGATGCAGCATAACTTATGCCTTGCTCGAGGAAACAAATAAGTAGTGGGGCTGTACATGTTGGCCAATACTGTTGCACAGTCCTGTGCACGCAGGGCTTGCAGCTCCCTGCTTTGCTGTGCTGTAGAGAACAGTTTGCACTGGTGCCATTCCACATCTCCTGTGAGCTTACAAAGACCAGGCAATGATGAAACCAGACTAAGGTGAGCTGGGCTGTGTGTGTGGAGAGGCAGAGCCACCAGGAGATATCTGTAAGTAGGATGTGTAGCCTGATACCAGAGTCCAGTACTTGGACCAGGTTCTTTTAGATATTCTGCATGCGGAGGGTATGATGTCCACTTTACTTAATATAGTTGATGTTGCATGAGGTTTCTGATTTAGCAGAGTGATACAAATAGACCAGTAACACAATACAGATGTAAGTCATTCTTAACAAAATACAGCAATTGCAATGCGCAGTTTAATCACAATACCGCTGGTGCTCACTGTCACAACGCTGGGCGTCCTCAGTTGCCAGGAAGAAGTATGTGGGTTGAAACAGCTCTGTTCTCTTCAAAATTCTTTAGTTCATTGTTTAGTTTTTATACTCTGTGTTGGCCACAGCCATGTATTCATGCCCCCATGCTGGTCTGGCTAACTCGAGGAGGCGTTCACATTCTAATGAACTCAAGGAGTTACACAACCCGCCGATCCACTCAACTAGATGTTAATCTAAAATGAACACTCTCTGGTTGCCTCTGATCCTCTTTGTGTTGAGATAAAAATCAACTTCTTTGCAGAAGCTGTGGTCAGTCACACCCTGCACTATTTTCTGAGTTTTGTAGGTACATCACCCTTGCCCAGCTTCTCTGAGCCTCCTTATGTTGTAGGGTTTTATTGGTCAGTCACAGCTGGGGTTGCCAGAGTTGGGCATGTGTACATGGGTGAGGGCTGGAATATGTGATAACAGGTTAGTCAGAGAGGAGATAAATTTACTGCAGAGTCTACAAAATACCTTAAAGGGCCTCCTTTGAACACTGCTAGGACAGTGTAGCCTGCCAGGTACTGAGCTCGGGTTTTAATGCTAGGTTGTGTTTTGTGTGATCAAAAGAGCCTAACCTATTGCAGTGTATATCAGAGATGAAACCATGGTGCTTAACTGTCAGTGGGCAGATGTGCTTAAAAATGTGAATGTTCATTTCAGGCTGTGTTACTGCTCACAGAATACAGGGCAAATAGGAAATCTGAAATGTGGATGTACAGATTTTCTGTTTGATTCCTGAAGAGGACTAATTATAATTTTGGTATTCTTCCATTCTCAGTAACTTTGGGAAAAATGAAAACATGATTTGTTGCTCTTTATTTTCTGCAAGGTAAAATGTTTATGCTGAGCTCTGGAAAGAGAACTCTCCCTGGTCCTTTTCCTTTGAAAAAGCTCACACTCCACTGCAGAGCCTTTGATAAAATTCTGCAAGGAAAATATTCTTGTGGAGACAACCTTACATTGAGGTAATCCTGCTCTGCTTTCAGCCAGATAACGGTGTCATGTTTAGTGGTGCAGTTCTGTGGGATTTTATGCTCTGCTAAGCAGAGAAGCAATTCTTATGATTTGAGTGAAGTTGTGAAGATCATCTGCAGACCTTGGGATGCCCAAGGTCTGTCTGCTCTTGGAATTACATATTTACTTATACCTGTGCCTTGCCTGTAGTCATCCTTAGTGACTTGGGGAATATTGTTTATTCTGTCTCCTTGCTTTACAGCTGTCACCTAAAACTGAGGCATGTTTTGGATTTAAGGAGGTGTTAGGTAAGAATTTAGGAATGTTACATTTTTCCATTTGAGGATTAAGGAGCTGTCTGCCTGCCTGATTTTACTGAAGGCTCTGTCAATAAATAACAAATGGGGAACATAGTGGTTAGAATTTGGGAAGATAAATCTGGAGAGAACTGGCTTTGTTTTGTTTTGTTCTGAGAGAGGAATAACATGTACCAAAAGTTGCCACTTACAAGCATCATAGGAGCCCCCAGACCCAGCCAGCTGGAAGAGGGTTGGAAAATGAAGTTTACCTGGTATGTTAGAGTTAGCAGCTTCTGAGTTGCAAGTACAGCTGTTGACTCCCTGTTACAGAAACCCGGTGGAAGCTGCTCAGAAGCTGCTCAGTTGATCTGGATTTTCTTAGGGTGCTTTCTGGAACCTGCCTGCTAGGAAGGAAATGTCAGGGGAGTGGCAGCCAGCTGTAGGGAGATGTGCTGAGACAGCCAATTAATTGTGTGCATTTCTGGGGAACAGGTGGGTGGTGAGAAGTGCTGACATGCTGCCGGCTCCTTTCAGGTGCAAGTGTTTATGCTTTGTAGATGACAGAAACAAGTTTTTGGGTTACATTCACTGTAGTTGCCTTTCTGTAGGGAATGTCATCAGATTCAAACAACTATATTAAAACAGTCACTGGTACGTAAATCATGATGTCTCAGACACCTGGCCAGGCTTCCACTGTTGCTCGCAGCTGTCTCCCCCGCTATCCCCCTGCCCTTTCAGCCTAGTAATTACGCAAATATTTCACCTCTGAGAGGAAAGTACCACTGTGATTGCTGGTGAACTTAAAACTTGCCATATACTTTGCGTGTTTCAGGAAAAACTATTACACCTTTTTTTTTAAAAAAAAAAAAAAGTACGCGAAAAGGCTGTAGATATCTGAACTGTGCATATTTTAAGATCTACAGGGTTGACACTGAGTACTCTTCATAAACACACCTACCTGAGCTGTGAGCATAAATGCTATCAGCACAGGTGCTATCAGCATAGAGCATTGTTTCTTCTGGAACTACAGTATCTGCAGCTGCTACGCAATAAATGAACACTGATGCTTATGCAGGTCTGGGATTGATTTCTGGCTCACAGTCTGAAGGTTGTACATCTAGTTTGGGAGATGCAAGTATGTAGTTTAGTCCTGGTATAAACTATTACAGTGGTTTGTATTTTACACGGTTCTAGATGTTTAAGGTCATATTTAGTTTAAATTACAGCTTTAGCTGCAGGGCTTCCACCAGCACTAGAATAACTCACAGGAACTACTTGATCAGGTATTTGATACTCTCAAATAACCCTGTTTATTGCAGGCCCTTGAAGAAAAACATTAAACAGATCGAGTGCAGCTCTGAGGCTGTGAAACACAACCAGGGTCTGCAGCCTCCCAGGCTGGCTGGCAGGGGTGCAGGTGTTCCAGGCACTGCTGTCCACCTGTGGCTGCTGTGGGGTGTACCCTGCTAGGGACCATGGCTTGCTACCTGGTTCCTTTGGCAAAGAATTAAAGGGGCAGCAGGTAGCAGTTTCTGTCTATGGAGCAGGATGCAGTTTAGCTGGACAGCTTTTGGGGCCGGGTGGGGGGGGGTGGGAGTCAACTAGAGTCTAATTCTAACAGGATTTGAAAGAAAGCCAGAGGCAACGCTGTAAAGAACTAAAAGAATTCATGCCTCAAGCATTCATTGACACAGAAAACCTCAAGGACAAGCTGTGGCCTTTGTGATTAGTCTAAGGAATGTCACCCAAGGAAGCGGGATTGTATCAAAGGATGCACCCCCCACTCCCTTATGGTTGTACTTAGGTCCTTAGGTGAGCCTCAGAGGGGGGTCACTGGCTCCGTTGTGTAAGCCAGATACTTTGTGGCTCCATTGTGTAAACTGATACCATGCAGACCTTGCCAAGAGGTGATAAGAGGTGAGCATCCTGCCCTAGGAAGCCAGATGATTGCTCAAGAACCAGGAAGTCAGCAAAAATCTGGAGGAACTGGGGGAGAAGTAAAGGTGGCAGGGCAAGCAAAACCACTGACTCAATTGGATGGACCCTATTTCTCCCTCAATGCACACACAGACCTGTCTCTCTTTGCCTAATAAGCTAATCTGCTGATAAGAGGAACTTAAAAGCAACAGAAAGCTTTGCTGGTTGTGTACCCCCTGCCCAAGATTACTGGACCCGAGACAATGCTGGATCAAGTGGTGGTGACTCTTTTCCTTTCCTTTTGCCTTTATCCTTTCCTTTTGCCTTTATCCTTTCCTTTTGCCTTTATCCTTTCCTTTTGCCTTTATCCTTTCCTTTTGCCTTTATCCTTTCCTTTTGCCTTTATCCTTTTTCAGGGTTAAATTGTTTTCTAATGCAACCGGTTGTTTGGTGTCCTTTCACCTTAATTTAACCTGAGAGAGGTTCACAGAACTTTTACAACTCCCAGGGCTCCCAGTCTGGGTTGTGACAAATGTTAGGAAAGAGAGGTGGAGGTCTTGGTGTAAATTAAATTATTTTGGGGGTTCTGGGTTTATTTGATTAAGGGAGTGTGTTTGAAAGGATGAGAATCAGAGTGGCAGATGTGAAAGAAAAGCCTAAATATGAATCTGCCAACCATTTTTCCCTTTCTTTTATACAGGTGAAGCCACAGTTTGAAAGCAGGGTAAATGGGACATGCGACATCTTTCAAGCCATAGTATATAGGACTCAGGTGGTTGCTGGGATCAACTACTTTATTAAGGTTTGTATATATCATAAGAGGGAGTACTCTGTAGTTAAACAGTATAGTGGCTTATAGCAAGAAAGAGAAGCAAATGTAGTAGAAGACCATCTGATGTCACTAATAGAGTTAGGGACTCTCTCCAGGTGATTATAAAATTGCTCTGTTTGGTGCTACTGTAGAACAAGAATATGAAAACGTATAAAACCTGCACTGTGCTGCTTCAGATGTGAACAATAACTTTCTTAGGATCAACTCACATCAAGATTGCCTTATCAGCTGAAATTATTTAAGCTAGTCATAGCTCTTCTCTCCTGTTTCCTTTCAAGGCAAAGTAGCTTTCCTGTTGCCTCTCTGTCCTCCAGTTGTGTTTATTATGATGAATTTGAAGTCAGCCTGAGGATCTGATGGAGAGTTAGAGCAAATTTTGTTTAAATCTAAAAAAATTTAATGCAAGCATCTCATACTCATTTCATATTCGAGGAGCGGCTGAGGGAACTGGGGTTGTTTAGTCTGGAGGAGGCTGAGGGGAGACCTCATTGCCCTCTATAACCCCCTGAAAAGAGGGTGCAGACAGGGAGGACAGTTCCTCTTGAACCAAGGAACAAGCACCAAGACAAGAGGGAATGGCCTCAAACTGCACCAGGGCAGGGTCAGACTGGCTCTTAGGAAGTATTTCTTTGCAGAAGGGGTTGTTGGGCGTTGGAATGGGCTGCCCAGGGCAGGGGGGGAGTCCCCATCCCTGGAGGGGTTGAAGAGTCGGGTTGACCCAGTGCTGAGGGATCTGGTGGAGTTGGGAACAGTCAGTGTGAGGTTAATGGTTGGACTGGATGATCTTCAAGGTTTTTTCCAACCTAGGTGATTCTGTGATTCTCTGCTGACTAGTTGTGCATGCAAGCATGTGTGTTGATGTTTCGGTTCTGTGTCAGGTGCTGCAGAGGTACAGTCTTGCCTGCTAGTTCTTCCTATATTTTCAAAATCCCCTTTCTGTTAGGGGGGAGGAACAGGTAATGCTTAATTTGGAGCCCTCCGATAGCACCATTTGTTGTCTACTAGAAAACCTTACCTGTGGATTTTAGCAGCTTTCTGTGAAGGAACATGTAAGAAATTGCTGGGCATATTTTGCAAGCGAACGCCAGAAGCGTTGCTTAGTGGCAGGCTGGCTTTCTGGAAGTAGACCAAACATTGTATTTAAGTACAAACTTAAGTACAAACATTGTATATTAAGAACTTAAGTATTCAAGATACTTCATGTGCTCTATCTTAACCCCACATGTGTGCAGACATATGCCTGGTTGGATGTGCTCCCTTGACAAGGGTCAGAATCTTTTTTTTAAAGGAATTGGCAGGTGGGGTTTGGGGGATAGTAATTCTGCAGAGAGACATTATGAGCACTGGTGCCACACTTGTCATATTCAGTTGATCCTAGGAAGGACAGACACTGCCAAACCTTCTTCTTTCCCAGGTCCTTCCTGAAAATAACTCTTTAACAGTTATTTCTGCTCTGTGGGCATCAAGGGATTGCACAGACAGACTACCTGTTATATGGCTAGTCTGAGACTTAGATCAATGATGTTTATCCTCCCCTTGCTCCTGGGAGATGTGCTTTTGCTTTGTGGACAAAGTACTGGTAGTGAAGATTTAGTGAAAATTTACGGGGGAACTGCAGCAAAGCCAGAAGTCATGCCCAGTTGCATTTCTTCCCTAATTGTCATCTTACTGCTGACTTAGGCAATGTAAAATACTTGTCTGCTGTCCTCATGACCAGACTACTCATAAAGGAAGACTGACATCTTACTAAACTTGGAAGAAATCCACTTGTAACACTGAAAACAGATTATGTGTCTCTTCTTTCCCAATCTTGCAAGTGACAGGAAATAGTTACTCATTTTAGCATTAACTGGAATGAACTCTGTCACAAGATTCTTTCTTTTATACTTCTGAATTTTCCACATCACTACTATTTTACCAACAACAGAGTTACAGCTGAGATGTAAACCAGACCAAGGCAAACATAGTGCCACAATGCAGGCACCAGAAAGCACGTAAAAACCTCTTAGATCTTAAGGCATGAAATTTTCTATTATTAACAGAAAAATATATACCTCATGCAGTGTGAGTTTAGCACCTGTTGTGCTTGGCTCTGTGTACATGAAATTATACAATTTTATAGCAAGTCTTTATGTGAGGACTTTCTGGAGGGGAAGGGGAGTTAATTTTAAAAAGTATTTATTTCAGGCACTCACACTCACTTCCACAGGCATCGGGATGGGTTGAACTGTCTGTTCAGGCAGGGATTGCAGTAATTCTGAAGACAAGGGCCTCTGGCTTTCAGGTTGTCATTGCTTCTTAGGACCATGTGCCAGTTGTGGATAGATGTTTCTGGACCTTCTAGGAGCTAACATTGTCTCTGCATCTTGCCCCACCCCCAAGTCATTAAGATTTACTTGTTGTCTCTTGTCTCCTACCCTGAGTGTCCCAAGAAGCTGTGAGCTGATGTGTTGGGATCTTGATGACTGAAATAGGATGCTATCAAAACCCTTCTCCTGTTGCACCTTCTAGTGCTTCCACACCCAAGCAGTTCCACTCATTTTTCATTTACATGGGTTTGGAAGTTTTAATTAGTTTCTGCTACCAGTTACTGTCCAGACTTGGGTTAAAAGCTGTTGAAGTAAAAAGGGAGATACACCTAAAATTGATTCTTCCAAGTATGTGAAGAGCATCCTTTTCTTTGAACCTGCTTTGATACTCACTTTCTCTCTGTTTTGATTTCTAGGTCCAAGTCTCCAACACTGACTATGTCCACTTAAGGGTGTTTCAGAGCCTTCCTCATGAGAACCAAGGTCCCAGCCTTGTCAGTTTTGAGACTGGAAAAACCAGGGATGATCCTCTCACCTACTTCTGAGAGATGATATGAAATGGTGCCTTACCTCTGCAACTCACATGTGGATTCTGCCTGTGTCAGTAAACACGTGGAAATAAAACAAATTTTGAAAGCTGTTTGTTAATCTACCACATGTCCTGTCTAGGGTCTGCTGCCTGGTAAAGCCTGAGTAGGCTCTGAAATACTACTCAAGGCTGTTTCTGCCACCTGAGGTACTATAGCAGTAAGACAGAGCATGCCCATTTCAGCTCCATGTTCAGTCTAACGTTACAGATCTTTCAGGTGCAGCAAGTCTTGCATTATCACCATGACCATCCCCTCACAGAATAGCATTTGGAGGTAACGCTTGGCTTTTTGAACTGTGAAAACACTTCAGGGTGGGGAGTTACCACCACCAAAGATGACCCTGTGTCTCCAAGCCTACTTTATTTTAGCAAAACAAGAAGTGTTATAATAAGCCAGACTTACTTTCTCCCTTTATTCCATATTGGAGGGGGTTAAAGAATTTCACCAGACTGTGGGTTATCTCTAGGCTGGCTTTATTAACAACTCAGAGTTGGGCCATCACCTCAGTGAGTGGCACCAGTTAACAAAAAGCACCCTCTATATATATGATTTTACATAACATGCAATACAAAGAGTATTTGGTGATTTCCCAGGAACTTTAAGCTCTCAATTCATCATCTATTTCAAAAGTCAATTCTATTGCACAACTTCAACTAGTTCTCATCATTCTGTTCCAATTCTTCTTCTGATGCTACTGCTCAGTGATGCAGTCTTCGGTCATCTTCCTAAACAATCTTCACCATAATTTACCTTTAGACTTCTGAGAAACGACTCAAGATGTTCTATTTAACATATACTTAACCTATGTCTAGCTTCTAATTACCTAGCTTTTCTAAATTGCTTACCCCAAGTTAATAACTTCTTATCTTTTGTTATGTCTAAAACAATATAGAAATTAAATTTCGGTAATTCAGCTTGACTGGGTTTTAAGCCAGCCATGATGAAGGCTGTACAGGGGACAAATAAGCAATATTTGCATTGAACTGTCAGTGTTGTTCCTAGAGCACCTGTACCCTATTAAAGTTGACATAGTGCTTAGGGATATGGTGGAGTTGAGAACAGTCAGTGTGAGGTTACTGGTTGGACTAGGTGATCTTCAAGGTCTTTTCCAACCTAGATGATTCTGTAATTAAATCTATAAACCAATCTTTATTAATTATTCCTGCTATTAATAATATCCTAAGAGAAAAAGATTTTCTAAAATATTTTTCCTTTTACAAGGAGGGTGTGAGCACTCTTTGGGTTGATACGAGCAAAAGCAAGTAAGCTCTGCCTAGTAATCAGGAGATGGAACAGGCTTTTCCTAAGCAATGCTGGTTACACACAGAGCATGCCTGCAACAAAAAGCCCAATAATATGTAAGGTCACTGTGCTCTTGCCTCTCACAGCTGCTCATTGTTTCTTCAGCCTGTGGCCAAGAACATGCAGCAATGTCATGTAGGTGTGGGCTTTTTGCCCTTAGTTCAGAGCCCAAGCACCATGTGCAGTCAGAAACTGATGGGAGTCTCCACAACCTCTCCAGGCAGCCTGGTCCCCTGTTTGACCATCCCTTCAGTTCTTAAAGAAAAAAAAAAAAAAGGTGTTTTTTTTCATGTCTTTATATGGAGTGTTTCAGTTTGTAGCTATTGCTTTTTTGCTCTTTTACTGCACTGAGCGATACTGAGAAGAGCCTGGCTCTTTACTGTTCTGGTGGCCCTTTACAGGCCTGGCTGGGGTACGCCCATGTCAATGTGGTGCTGGGGAGTGCAGAATGGGGGCCAGCACTCCAGACAGGGCCTCATCCATGCTGACTAGAAGAAGAACCCCTCTAGCTGCTGGCAGTGTGCTGCCTAAGGCAGCCTGTGGCTACCACTACCCACCTTGGTGGCCAACAAGATGGACGGCCAGGTCCTTTCCTGCAGAGCTGCTTCCCAGAACCCAGCCTGTACCCTTTTTCCTACCCCCTCCCCATGCAGGACTCTGCATTTCCCTTTGCTGACAGTTGGGACATGCCCATCTGCTCATCGCTGCAGCCCGTTGACATCCCTCCACCTGCTGTATCAGCCGCTTCTCTCAATTTTGTGTCATAACCAAAGCCACTGAGGAGGTGCTTGGGCTCATCAGCCAGGTCATTAATGAAAATGTTATGCAATATTGGTCCCAGTCTTGAGCCTCAGTCTACATCATTGGGGACCAACCTCTAGCCAGACTGAAATTTTTGAGTGCAGCAGTTCAGCTAGTTTGCAGCCCACTTACTGAGCACATGCTTAAATCAGTCTGCCCATGAGGCTGTTATGGAAGACTGTATCAAAGGCCTTACTAAACTCAAGGTAAATAACACCCATCTTCTCTCCTCTGCCAAGACATTTATCTCATCGTCTAAACCATGGATTGTGCCCGTCTCCTGTTTTCAATTTTACTACCCCTTCCTGATGGGTGCATAGAGAAACTGCAGACGCCCCAGAAGCCTGACCTGAATGGGCAATGAAGGCAGTCAAAATCCCTGATTATTATACCCATGGACAATTAGCAGCACTAATGTTTGAAAATGTCTTTACTCCATCTGTAATCCTGAGGTGAAATCAATTTGTTCTAGAAAACATAAGTGGGCAAGTCCAGCTTCTAAGTAACTCGACAAGTTATGGTTTAGGAGAACTGAATTTACAAGTCCAACAAGTATCAAAGATGACACTTCAAAACCATTTAGCTTTAGATACGATGTTGTTAAAAGAGCAAGGGGTATGTGGTCTGTTAAATTTAAGTGATGGACTCCAGGACTGGACCAAATTACCCAAAGTGTGCAGAAAGCTGCTTGTCTTTTTTATGCACAACAGGCATGTAATACCTGACAAACCCTCCTTGATGCTGCTAAGAGCTGAGCCCAATTGAATGAAACCTCCTGACTCCCTAAAACTATGTGCTACACCAATCCAAGACAGTTTAAGGGTGGCATTCCTGATCCAAGAGCACTTGGTGGAAACGTTAATGCCAGGAAGAAACCAAACCCAAACCCACCCCAGCAGAACCCCCCCCCTCACTTGGGGACAGATTGCACAGGAGTTGGTAACAAACATGAACAAATTACCCCTATATTAAATCACATGTGTAAAAAGATAACTGATTTGAATGAGTATAATATTTCACAGAGACGTGCGTGAGTACAGCACCTGTTGTACCTCCACAGTATATTCTTGTAGTCTCTAAAAACTTAGTTCTTAATAGTGACTGGTTTACTATTTGCTTGGTTTTATTTTATACATATGTATGCATTAATGTATACATTTTCCTCATGGATATACATTCAGACATAAAAATGCTTGGCTTCACAAAAACAACAAATCAGCTTGGAGCACTGCAGGGGAGCCACAGTTTACTTAAATGACACAATGGTTTCTAAACTTTATGTTGAATTTTGTTGCTGCCACAGGCTGTCCCACAGAGTTCATAAAACATGAAGTGACCTTTTTTTTCCTCCTGTTTCTTTGTCTAATGGATGCTCTGCCTCGAGTAGGATTCTGTAGCATTTCCTACTGCACCTTGCAAATGTTTTGACATGCAGAAATAGGATCTACATTGGCATCCAAAAGTCTGAGATAAAGTGGAAAAATGCCAGACAAGGGCTCCAAGTCCATTAGAATTTCAAGGTACAACATGGGAAGAACAGTTAAAGGAATTTACAGTATAGGGTGTAGAGAACAACCACCTGACAGATACAGTGATAAACAATATTAAGAGAATGTATTAAAATAATGTCAGTAAAAGTGGAAATTTAAATATGCTATTTGGAAGTGATCAGTGACATGTATGTCAGGTCAATTATAACCCTATCAGGTGAGCCAGGGTGATGGCTTATGGACTTAGGTAAGATGGATCACCACAAATCAGCAGGGAGATCTGATGGTTACCAGTGCCAATGGAAAAGGCAACGAAATTAATGAGATGGATAATCCCTTCTTTTTGAAACCAGTTCAAAAGAACAACGTTTTCCCTTTCTCTTACAGGAAGAAAACTGGATCATCATTTGCCAAACCAATCCACCCCATCAAAAGAGTGTTGGACCCCAATGAATACTGTCAATGTTGTATTTTGGTATCAGTTTATCAACTATCATTTTTAGTAATAATTCTAGTATGTATTTACCATTTCTCATGCAGACCCTGGTCGTCCTCTCTTCTGGGAGAGGAAAACAAGGTGGAAGTAAGACTCCTTCAAACCTTGTGTGGGAATTAATTCTTGAGTTTATAAAAATGTGGAATGCAACTAACCAAGGGATATGCATCGCCCTTCCCCAGTCTGCTGAACAACGATTAAGATTCTTTCTCACGTCACCCAACATTAAATACAACTTGAAAATTAATCAAACCATAGAACCTTATGTCCAATTCCCCACTATTTGGGCAACTTATTTTAAACGAAGAGCAGATTACATTTTAACAAAGGGCTCTTTAGAAATAGATATAAATGTCCACATTTTAGACCAGTGTGATACCCACATTGATTAAGCATGATTTCCTCTTTGTAAACCCATGCTACTTCCACTCAACTTCTTGTCCTTCATGTGTTTGGAAATGGCTCCCCATCACTTTCCAGAGACTGAGGTGAGGCTGATGAGCTTGTAGTGCTCCAGATTCTCCTTCTTGCCCTCTTGAACATTTTTTTTCTTCCAGTCCTCAGGAACCTGCCCTGATGCCCTTTCAAAGGGTGTGAAGTATGGCCTTGCAGGGACACTGGCCAGCTCTCTAAGCACCCGTGGGTGTAGCCCCTCAAGTCCATGGCACTGTCTACGTCCAGTTTGTTTAAGTGTTTCCCTAACCTGAACCAGCTCTGCTGAGGGAAGTCTTCCTTTCTCCAGACTTTCCCACTCACCTTAGGGACCTCAAATTCCTGAAGGCAAGTCCCGCCAGCAGCAAGTGCTTCAGCCTTTTCTGTGTCCCTGGCTCCACTGAGCAGAGCCCACATTTTCCTCAGTGTCTCTTTTGCTGCTGCTATACCTTCAGAAACCTTTCTTGTTATCTTTCATGTCTCTCTCAGGATTAAAATGAAGTATTTCTAATTAAAACACAAAATAAACATAAGGTTATCTGGAATATAAAAAGCACTCATGGAAAAAAAACCTCTTGAGCAAGGTAATAACTAACACTGAAAACCAGTAAAGAAAACAGTGAAACGCCAGTCAAATATGCCATCTTAATTCAAGAGAAATATTTATTGTTAATAATGCAGAAAGGCTCGTCCAGCTTAAGTTCCTTTCCAGGACTTTTCCATAGGACACAGAAAGTACAGAAGCTGTTTTTTGTTTTTAAACGTGTACACCCTCTACTGGACATTATCTCCTGCTACTGCAAGAGAAAAAACATGATTTCCAAGGGAATGAATGCTTGTTTCAAAAGACCATAACCCTCATTCTCTTCCTTTAAAATCACTTCAGCTCAAGTCTCTCTTCAGGTCTTTGCATATAAAGCACATAGCACAATTTACATTTACAGATAAATTCACAGCTGCAAAACAGCACAGAAAGGATTCAGGCTTTCCTCTTGCTCCCTGCTGCAAATATCTGAGTGCTACTGTCACTCCGCTTTCAATTCCCAGACCAAGGAAGTCCACAAACAGGACTCAGCCACAGTATTCCAGTTAAGTTGCACTGAAGTTAGCGGAGGTGAAAGGAGAGCTGCGTGACTCTAGAATTTGGATACTGCACAGTAAGTGAATGACATAAAAGGAAATTACTTTTTCCAGCATTAAGTTTTTTTTAAAAAGACACTTTCTTTTCTCCTTTGTTGGCACTGGAATCAACATTTTGCAGCCTATAGAAAATGTACATAAGGAACCATTAGGAAAACACACAAGATAAGCTTGCTAGAAAAAAACCAGTTCATCATGCTTAGTCTTGCTGCTCTGGTAACTGTGGAGGCTCAGTGGCTTGTTCTCGTGAGGAAGGCTTCTGAACACCCGCAGGTGCATGAACTCATCATTGCCAACATGGACCTGCAAAGCACAAAAACCGGTGAGTTCCACAGAGTAACGCAGTAGGAGGGATGGAGCAGACTGGGGTGTTTTCAAGCTGGAGAAGTAGAGAATCAGTAAGAAAAACTGCCACCTTGGAAGGCATGGTCTTGTTTTAAACCAGTCTGGGAGTTGTGACTGTGGAAATACCACCTATGCTTGTTAATCCTCCCCGTGCCCAACACAAAGCATGTACAGGTAGGGAAATGGGATTGCATAGAAGTGATTAATATATTAAATAAATGCAAACCGCTCTAATCTCATCTGGGACAAGAAGCACTTCAAAGCTTTGGTTACAGTTGCTTGTTTTTCATGTGTGGCATCACTACAGGCAGAGTCAGAGCAGGTTTGATACTTCACTGTATCTTTACACATCCGGACTTCACTTAATCTAGTATTAGTGCTCAACAGCACAGATGTGTAATCATCCCCAAAACCAAGTTTCACAAAATAACTGAAAAGTAAAAATCATTACAAAAATAGAAGAGTACTCTTCTGTCCATTTAGTACAGGCAGGGAGACAGGCTGAGAGGTGGGGGGATGGATATATTTTTTTTAATGTACAGGGTTTTTTCTTATTAACACCAAATTGTAAACATCCCTCTGTAGGTAAGTAAAGAAAAAAAACCCACCATTCCAAATATTATACATGTTATTTTAAAAAAATAGTAATTCCATTGCCCAGTGTCCTCTACCTTGATGAAGTAGTTTGTTCCAGCAACCACTTGAGTTTTAAATTCCACTGCAGTGAAAACATCAAACTTTTTTCCTTCTTTTGCTTCTAGATGAGGTTTCACCTTAAGGAAACAACAGGTTATTTAAGACTGATGCAAGATTCAAGTATTTAAGACTTAAGGCCCACACTATCAGTGTACCTCAGTACCCCCCAGGTCACTATTGCTAACTTCCCAGAGTGTTCCTGCTTTTCCAAGTTATTAAAAGATTAAAATGACTAACATTAAGTTTTGTGTTAAAGCAAGACCCAAATCTAGACAGGCAGCAAAGCCAAGACAGCTGTGTGATTCAGTCACCACAGACTGACACCACGTCTGGAGCCTCCAAAAAGAGAACTGCATGGGTATGCTGAAAGATTTATTCTGAAAAATTATTTCCTCTATCAATGTCTCAGCTTCCCTTTCTGTCCTGTATATCTAACAACAAATGTAAAGTGGTTCAGTATCTACATGCACAAGACTACAGGTCTTTTTAAGGAGAAGTTATACATCATTCTAACAACAAGAAAAAGGGCCGTCTTCAGCATTAGCTTCCTCTTCAAATTCAGAACAAGTCACCCAGCATCACAGAAGAGACAGATATCAAAAAAAATCAAGCTCTGAAAGCAAACTACCCAAGCCTAAGGTTTCACAATGCTTATCTAACAGTTATTCCAGCATGTCTGCTGGAATCTATAATGTTTTCAAACTGCAAACATTTTCCAAAAAAATAACCATAATATCACCCCAGTTTCCAGAGCGTAAAACCAGTGCTCAAGAAGTCGGAGTAACTTGCCCAATACCCTGGAGGGAGGCATGAGCTCAGAATCACAGAATCATCTCGATTGGAAAAGACCTTGAAGATCATCCAGTTCAACCATTAACCTCACACTGACTGTTCTCAACTCCACCAGATCCCTCAGCACTGGGTCAACCCCTCCAGGGATGGGGACTCCCCCCCTGCCCTGGGCAGCCCATTCCAACACCCAACAACCCCTTCTGCAAAGAAATACTTCCTAAGAGCCAGTCTGACCCTGCCCTGGCACAGCTTGAGGCCATTCCCTCTTGTCCTGGTGCTTGTTCCTTGGTTCAAGAGACTCATCCCCCCTCTCTGCACCCTCTTTTCAGGCAGTTGTAGAGGGCCATGAGGTCTCCCCTCAGCCTCCTCTTCTCCAGACTAAACCCCCCCAGTTCCTTCAGCTGCTCCCCATCAGACCTGTGCTCCAGACCCTGCACCAGCTCTGTTGCCCTTCTCTGGACACGCTCGAGTCATTCAAGCTCATCAGAGGTGCAGCTCTTCTTTCCCACACTTGGCTCTCTAGAACATCACACCTATACAGTAAAATTCTTGGTCAGGAACGTGGAATATTTTAGGCTTTGTTTACTAGAGCAAGAATTAGTCTTGGAGTCCTTGCTGTAAGCGCACTTCTACTCAGGCCTTAACTCCTGCACTAAATCATTATGTAGCCCTCTCTCCAGTCCCAGTGTAACAGTACCAGCAGTGAGTTGATTTTCTCTTTCCAGCTATATGGTGACTTCCCCTTCTTCCTAAATTCAAGGGGAATAAACATATTTGCTCTCCTGCCTGAATCCCACCTGCTTCCTTGGGGGAAAACAAGTGCCAGTTTGCCACTGCTCGGGCACTCTAGGTACTGTAGGAACAGAAACAATTCCTGCAACAGTTCTCCAGCACCGAGAGGGCACAGGATGGAATGTCAGTGCCTTTCCAAGACAGCTCACCAGTGACTATCCTGGGGACCATGACCATACTGCACATCTTCTCTCAGAGGCCACACCTCTATGTTTCTTCCAGGCTGGGAACCATACATCAAAAGTAAGGTAAGTGATGTTTGGATGCTTTTGGTTTTTTGCCACATGGAAATCAAAGTGCACCCACCAACTCTGCATTCTAAGAGGCAAGGAAGGGCACAGCCCCAGAAAGTGCAGACATTCAGTGCTCCCTCCTCCCCTTCTCAGTCAGAGGATGGAGGAAGTGGGTTTTTTTCCATCACTAGAGCTGCTAGTACAAATTTTAAGAAGCAGAGGAGAGGGCGAACATAAGTATCCCCTGACCCCATCCTGTCCCATGCTCCCCCAGCAATCTTAGGCGCTGCACAAGGTTGGTTTCCTAGGTCTCAAAATCGTCTTGGCTCAGCACTTTTATATTTCCGCCGGAAAGCGAACTCTGGGCTCCAGGACTGCAGACAGCTCAGCTAGAGGCAGCTGCGAGCTTGTCAGGGTGTTCCCAAGGCCATGACTCATCCCAGCAAGTGACAAATGGGCATCCTGAGTCAGTATGGGGAGGGAGGGCCCAGAGAGAAATACTCTCTGAAAGGCCTGGTAGCAGTCCACCCTACTAGATCATGATCTCACGATTACCACCCTTTACTTGCACTTGTTAGAGAACATCTGGAATACTGTGTCCAGTATTGGGCCCCCAATACAAGAAAGATGTCAATAAACTCCAGCGAGCTCAGCAGAGGGGCACCATGAGGGCAGATGGCTGGAGCATTCATATGGCGATGAGGGGAAGAAAATGAGCTTGCTCAGCCCAGAGCAGGCTTTGCGGAAAGCTTTCCAGTACCTAAAAGAAGTCAGGCTCTTTACTGAGGGATGATGGCAGAAGAATGAGACACAATAGTCATAAACTGAAATTGGAGGTTCAGACTGGATACAAGGAAAAAATTTTCCACCGAAGACACTCCTGCAGTACAGCAGGTTGCCCAGAGAAGCTGTGCAGCTCCAACCCTCAAAGGTTTTCGAGACCTGACTAGACAAAGCCCAGAGGTTGACTGGGGCTGCTGACAGGTGCTGGGGCAGGAGGTGCAGTCCCTTTCCACCCAAACAAGCTGTGATTTAATCACAGGGCTGAAAATTATCAGCCCCTGAAGGCTCTCTGCTGTTCTGTGGGGCCTGTTTGCTTACTCCCAGAGAAGTTAGTAAAAAGCAGATGGTTCAAAATCACCCTGACTAACCTCTGCCACAGCTGCCAGTAAGAAGCCAAAGGCTGAACAGGCCTGGGTGGAAATCCTTGCCATGGAGAGGCAGGGCCTATGGGCAAGCAGCAGCACTTGTCAGGGTCATGAATCTGAACGTTTGGCCAGTGCCACAACTCTTACGAAACAATACAGTGGAGGCAAGAACTGGAAAAGCAAGAACAGTAACTATTTATGGCAAGCGAACTGGCAAGCTATAACAAATCTGCACAAAGATTTGATTTTAAGCAAGCAGAACAACTTGAGATGTCTAGCTTGATTTAACAAAACTGAATTTTCCTTCACAGTCTGTATCCAGATGAGACGATGACTGCATGGGCAAATTTCAGTTTTGGGTTCTCCCACTTGTATGTCATTAAATAAACTGGCAGACAAAACAAGCTGGACAAACTTTGAAATATTTACATGATTTAAATGAAAATGCCAGAGTTCTGGCTAATTCTGTTCACTTCTGAATCCAACTGGGTTTCCACTCTTCATCTTATTTTTTGATTACCAAACCACTGCAGTCTGCCACAGAACAGAAACTCAGGATTTCGAACCTAGTTTTCAGTCCGTGTGCAACATTAATTGCATATTTGCATTATCTTTAACATGACAAGTAGGCCTTTTCAGGTCAAAACAATAACTGTGACTGTCTCAGCAATTCTCAATAATGTACTCATTACTGCAAACTCAGGTTGGCTCTTAGGAGATGCACACCTCTCTTTGTTAAATGCAGAATCATCAGATTCTATAAGCTAAATGTTAATTTCAATGACTGTTCTGCCTTTGAGAGCTCTGTATATGTTTAGAAACTGCTACAGCCTAGGGAACAAATCCAGCCATTTGTTCCCCAGGATCCCCAAATCCTGGGGAACAAAAAGCATAAGAAACTGGAGCTTGTCCTTCATCTTTCTTCACTGTCATGACATACCCTAGCTGACAAAACCAAAAAGCAGAAGGAACTTGAGTTCGTTCCCATGACTGAAACAAGACTCTGTGTTTTGAAAGAACTTAGCTGTACATAAAAGCAAAAGCATTTCACTAACATGGGTGGTAATTTAAGTTACTGTAAGTAGTACCAGGATTTGGAGCTGGCAGTGGTTAAAGCTGAATTCTGTGTAGGGGAAGAGCAGAAGCAGCAGTTTTCTTGCTTATCTCCAACCCCCCCCCCCCCCCCCAAAAAAAAACCAACAAACAAACCAAACCTCCAAGCAACCCACCCAGTGGCTACAAGGTTTAGACTTTTTAAGAACCATCTGAGCTCCTTCCTCAAGCTCAAGGGATCTTCTAGGGCTGGGACATACACAGGTTGCCAGGTGGCTCTCAGGCTGGCAGGCAGCAAGCACATCACCTGCACTGCCAGGGTTGGAGCTGGCAACACCCAGCACTCAATGCCACCTATGGTTCCTCTCTAAATCCCTTGAAAATGCCCTCTTAAAATGTTGAACCCACTCTGCCTGGAGTCAATAAAACTACACAAGGCCAAGCAGGCACAGGGAGGACTCCCGAGAGCCTGTGACCACTCACTGTATTTCTGATAGAGTATACTTCACATCTGCTAGTAGCCATGGTTAATGATTATGCAAGTAGCTATAGTTACCACACGTATGGGGACAATTTCAAGCTCTTGAAGCTTGGTCAAGTGAGATGTTGAAACGTGGTCAAGAGTGATAAAAAATTCATAAAGAATAGGCTTTAATCTCCAGACCCTAAAAAACAAGCGAAATATCCTGAACCATAAAGAGAATGTCTGGGACTGTGTTGAGGATGAGTTATTTGATGACTGGCAAAGTGACTCTTCAATTAACTTGGCAATGAAACCAACTTCTGAGCATGTGTAGCAGTAGAAGCATTACGTGAGCTGTATTGTAATTGTATGTTAATCACTAACCAACCAGTATCTCATAGGTGTGTTTGGAAAAGCACTAACCCCTGATTTTTGTGTATAATAGGAACATGAAAACCTGCTGCTGGGGTGCTTGATTTGTGGAAAAGTCCACCGAGCGCCCAGGCCTGAATAAATACAGCATCTCTCCCGAGCATGTTAAGACTGGCAGATTGCACGCCGGGCACGGACCCGCTTTTCGGGTAAAACACCCCCCGCCCCCCAATTTGTCAGCCTTCCTGCTTTACACCGAGGCGGGAGGAAAGGCGTCTCCTCATTCTGCGCACCTGGGCCGCCAGCCACCCCCCGCCCC